TCACCTCTGTAGACCCTGTTGGAATCTTATTAGACCAGCCTTTTGAAGCTCAAGGATCCCAATAAGTCAATCAAGCTAATTTTATGCCAGAAGTTGTCTCATTATTATTGCAGCAATTTTTTAATAAGATGTACCACAGCAGCTAATCGATATTGAAGAGAGAAAACAGCGTATTCACAGCTGCTGGTTTAAACATAAAGTCTTATGGACTAAATAATGATATACAATTCTATTCTGTTTAATTTCTTTTCAGGATACCGTTTTATTAAAATTGCTTCTAAGTAATTTTTTGTTCAGACTATCAGCGCTTACCAAATACAATAGTTACATGTGTTCATAAATTATATTGTGAAAGTACAGGAACACAAAGCCGAACAGCTTTAAAGCATGAACACCTTCCAGAACAGCTATTGTACATGGACAGCGAATAAGCTCTCTGTACGATTGGGCAACATCAGGAAGAGATTTCCAGTATGGCTGYCTTACATCAGTTGTGATCTGTATCCGGCCTGAGTCCCAATATTGTGGACTTGGAAGCTGGGGCTGTGATGTTCAAGCATGACCCTAGCGGTGTGATCCCTGGTAGCAAGTGGGTCACATTACATATAATAGAAGGGTAGATTTTGGGGGGCTGCATATCTGAATCAAGAGGTTCTGCTTTTTAAAAAACACTAATACCCAGGTTCCAGAGGCTTGTCTTTTAATATTCAGCTTACTTTACTTTCGAGCCAGTTTTTACGCCAAGCCTCTGGTCTCAAGCATAGGCAATGTCATTTTCATGCTGTATTTTAGCGATTCAATCAAGGATCGGAGTAATATGATCTGTTATCTATGATGAGCTCTTATTGGTTCGTTTATTTGACATCTAAAATACTCTGATCCGAAGTGTTTACTTTTGTACCTTAGGATCCATGATGAATACCATAGGACCTCCTGTATGAATATTGTAGGTGACAAATTTTTTTTGTCTACAGCATTTGTTTTGTGGAAATGCATTTGGACAAACTGCCTGTTGCGGTCTGCCTCATCAAGTACACACCAATATACCGTACAAATAAATTTAGGCATATTCCTATCTAGACCACGCGATCGATTAATACCTAATACCTATATCTAATGCAACTATAGAAAACAATGTCTCGATAGCAACCTTGT